GTAGAGATAGGGAGGAGGAATTGGAGAGTAGGGACAGAGATAGAGTTAGTGGCCACAGCAAGGAAAGAGAGAGGGATAGGGAGATTCGAAATGATAGAAATAGAGATAAAGGCATAGATATTGATAGCAATGGGAAAAAGTATAAAAATCTTGACGATGATGCTGGTGAGCATGGTAGGTATAAACATCCTGCAAACTCAAGATTTGTTGAAGCAGAAAACTATCAGAAAAGAATGAGGAAAGATGGTCTTCGAAAGTCTTTGCAAGGGAATGGGGATAAACTGAAAAGGTATTCTGTTGCTGAAGGAGGTTCTTGTAAATTCATTTTGTCTTTGATGTTTTTTTCTCATCAATTAATTCTGTGCAGAGATGAGGCTGAGCAAGCTGATTTCGAGGAAAGCATATCTTTGAAACTTGCTGAACAGGAAGAGGAAGACCTCGAAAGAATCAAGGAGGAAAGTAGAAAACGAAGGCAAGCCATCCTAGAAAAATACAAGCATCAGCAGTCACAGCAGCAAAATGAGTCTTCGGCAGAGGAAAAGGAGAAAGGTGCATTAATTCTTTTTTTTTTTTTTTTCAAGATTCATGTTCATTAAAATTTTAATTTCTGTCAGCTTTCTCGAAGTTTTAAGATATGCCAGCCTTGTCTGGTTGATGGTCCTGATGCTAGTTGGTTTGGCTTTTTGGATTATGGCTTGGATAATTTCGTATAGTTGAAAATTTTCTTTTTGCCAGTTTTCTTCTCACTAATATGCTTTAACAATGGTTGGTGATAAAGCCACAATAGGATGAATGGTCAAAGATAATCTTGGTACAAGAGACAAATGCTGGGGGAGGTCTTTCCACATCAAAGAGAGGATTTAATGCTGCCTTTTCCTTATAAATTGATCTGGAAAGTCAAAGTGCTGCCAAGGGTTTCTTTCTTTGCTTGGGAAGCTAGCAGAGAATGTATTTTGACTATAGATAAGCTTGGAAGAAGGGGCTTAATTCTGGTTAACGCTTGCTACCTCTGCAAACAGGCAGAGGAGAACTGCAGACACCTTCTCTTACAGTGTCTTGTTGTCTATCAGTTGGGGTGCATGGTTTACAGCTGGTTGGGTATTAGCTGGGTTTGTTCAGGTTCCATTAAAGATGAGATATGGGCATGGGAGCATCTTAGGGACAGCTGTATCCTTGCTGACTTGATTCCTATTACGATTATGCGGACTGTGTGGAAGGTTAGGAATAGTATAGTCTTTGAGGGGCTTGATGACACAAAGGGTTTTGATGTACTGAAGGATAGATGACTTAGTACCCTAAATTTTTTGCTTACGGGTCATCCTCCGGTATTTTTTGAGTCTTTTAGAAAGTTTTTTGGTATGGAGGGCAAAGCTGTAAATAACTGTGCATGTCTTTGCACCTCTGGTGCTTATAACAATACAACTTTACTACTTTTCTTTTCGGAAAAAAAAAAATAATCTTGTATATGTTAGCTTTTGAGGATAGATTTTGTTTCTCCTTTTGATAGAGATAGTGACTTGTGGTTCCAGACCTGTGTTTTTTCGTTCAAGGTCATCTTATTTATTCTGCTGAGGACCTTGGGAACCTTATCGACTTTCTGATTGGGCTGTAATTGTTTTTTGATATTAGGTGGCGTTCTCTTGGTGTCTTGTTAATAATAATTTTCCTTTCTTCTCAAGAAAGAATAATTTTACAGATGTTGGTAAACAGGTCTTTCCAATCAATTACTTCAACTGGTCTTAATGTTAATTTTCTTAGTTCTTTTGTTGACACCCATTGCTATTATAATTTCTCACATAATTTGAAATTTTGTTTTTGGATCAGATCAAGGATTGGAAGGTAATCCCGTTCAGACAATACATGCCCCTACTGATGCCCCTGGTACTCTGGATGGTAAAAATGATAGTGTGGACATAAATGTTTCTGGTCCTTTATTAACTGTTGGGAAATCACCCTCACAAGATGGAATTGCTACCTTGGAGACAACTTCTAGGGCTGCAGGGCTTGGAGAGGGCACACCAAAGGTGTGTGAATTCTTTCTTCTGAAGGATATATATTTCTTGAATATGTTTATTTGCACATGTTGAAGGGATCTCAATCTTTGTGTGTCCTTGACCATTTGCAACATCATATGGTTATTAGGTTGATATTCCCATGATGCTTATTTATGTTTTCACTTTTCTCAGAGTGAGAGATCAGATGACATGTTCTGCGATGATATATTTGGAGAATCACCAGCCGGCGTTCGAAAGTTGGTATGTATTTGATCCTTTTTTTTTACTATGCCTGTTCTGATATTTGCAGGATTTTGCTTTATCCCTCTCCTGTTCTGTGTTATTTCTTGACTATTTTTTTTTTTCTGAAACCATCAGAAATAAATGGTGCTTTATTATGATTATTATCTTTTACCTACTACTACTTCAAAATAAATTTGTTAATTCTGAGTTCTACACAAGCAAATAGCTCCTTCCCCTGCCTTTAATTTAAAAAAGTTGGTAATCATTAGGTGACAACATTGTATTTTCTTTTCCAGATGCATCTTAAGGCTCTAGTGTTTGCACCCGCTGGTGTTTTGCCAATCAGCTATGGTCTACACATGCTTCTTTAAATTGTCTGATGACTCTCAACAAGTTCCTTCCCCTAATGAGAATATCTTTTCTTGGCTGGAAGAAAAAATTATTTCTGCATCATGGAAATTAAAACTTTCATGTTGACTTGTGGTGGAAGGATAGTGTGTCAACCTCCCATTTTACTGGTCAAACTGCTTATATTCATGATCTATGATGTTAATTTTTTACTTTTATGCTTGATGGTCATGCGGTTTTTAAGTGTAGGTTATGTTCTTAAAAAGCGTGCATGATAAAGTTATTAATGTGATTATGTCATGGCATGGTAATTTTTGCTAAGGTTAACAATCTTTCTGCAGGGTAAAGGAGATGGTCTACCAATTGTGAGGAGTGGTCTTCATGACAATTGGGATGATGCAGAGGGTTACTATAGTAAGTGTTTGATTGGAAGGATTGCTTCACCCTTTTGTTTCTTATTACCAGGTTTGCATCTGTATTTGTGAGGTAACATGCAGGTCAAAAGAAAAAGAAAAAAATTGTAGTTTCTCTCATATTTGCCTTTTTGTTCAGATTTTTGACATCAACGTATTGTTGTTTGTTTTTTAAGTCTTAAGGTGCATGTTATTTGTGAGAGGGTTGGGATTATGAATTTCTAAATTTTCCCTTCAAACTTCATGTGTGGTATTTGAATGAGATCTTAATGAATATAGTTGTCAATCTAACAATTTTCAGCGAGGAAACAATTTGCAACCGGTTAAGTAGACTTTTTTGAGTGGGTTTACCTTTGTGTCAATCGTGCACTTCCCGCTTCTCCAACATGTATATTTTCCGTTTAAATTTGAACAGTGTGGATTTCCTTAAAGAACGGTTGATGTTCTTTCATCATAGAGAAGGTTAACAACTTTTATCATAAAATCTCTTATTTCTCCCAGGCTATCGATTTGGTGAACTGCTTGATGGTCGATATGAAGTTGCTGCTGCTCATGGCAAAGGTGTCTTCTCCACTGTAGTACGCGCCAAGGATCTGAAAGCTGCTAATGGTGAACCTGACGAGGTGGCTATAAAAATTATACGTAATAATGAAACAATGTAAGCGACCAATATCCCACAGGCCTTATCTCATTTCCCCCCCTTTTGGATATCCAGTGTTCTGCTTTGAAATTTGGATTGCTTTGAAGCTGCTTTCACTTATGTGATACAGGCACAAGGCTGGTCAGTCAGAGGTTCAGATATTAAAGAAGCTTGCTGGTGCAGACCCAGAGAACAAGCGACATTGTGTTCGTTTTCTTTCAAGTTTCAAGTACAGGAATCATCTTTGTTTAGTTTTTGAATCTCTTCACATGAATCTGCGGGAGGTTTTGAAGAAATTTGGTCGCAACATCGGTCTGAAATTAACAGCTGTGAGAGCATATGCAAAACAACTTTTTATTGCCCTTAAGCATCTGAAAAATTGTGGTGTTCTTCATTGTGATATAAAGCCAGATAACATGCTGGTATGTTTTTTGGTGGATTCTTCGGGTGATTCTTTAAGTCGAGCGTTGTCTTCTCACCCTTATTTGTTACTTTTTCAGGTCAATGAAGCAAAAAATGTTTTGAAGCTTTGTGATTTTGGTAACGCCATGTTTGCTGGAAAAAATGAAATTACACCTTATCTTGTGAGCCGCTTCTATCGTGCTCCAGAAATAAGTTCGTTCCTATCTCTTAGTGTTGCTTGACTAACTTGATATTTTTGAGAGAAATTTTCTGCTGAGTTTGCTGCATAAGATGTATAACATAATGCCTGATGTCTTTGTGCAGTTCTTGGTCTCTCTTATGATCATCCAATGGATATGTGGTCTGTTGGCTGCTGTTTGTATGAGCTTTATACTGGGAAAGTTCTCTTCCCTGGTCCAACAAACAATGACATGCTACGCCTTCATATGGAATTAAAAGGTCCTTTCCCAAAGAAGATGCTTCGCAAAGTAAGAACTTTTCTCCCCGGTTTTGATATATTTAAGTTTCCATAATCGTACTTCTGAATTTCTTTCAATGAGATTTTTCTGTTTCTTGGCCTTACAGTTTCTTTTTTTTTTTTTCATGTGTGCTTAGTTGTTCTTGCACATAACATATGTTTGCTTCAGGCATGCTTACCTAGGTATGAGATATCATTTTGTGGTTGTGTTGATACTGTTTTCCTTTTTTTTTTAATCTTTAACAGGGGGCATTTAGTGATCAGCATTTTGATCAAGATCTGAATTTTCATGCTACAGAAGACGACCCTGTTACCAAAAAGGTAATAAAGGTTTTTAATTTCTTTTCAATTACTGTGCTTTTTAAAGTCTTTTTTCTGCTTTATCTTGACTTGAGTATGCTATTATTTATTTGCAGACCATAAAGAGGATAATTATTAACATAAAGCCAAAAGATATTGGATCAATTATTGTGGGTTCTCCAGGCGAGGATCCCAAGATGTTAGCCAATTTCAAAGATATTCTAGAAAAAATATTTGTCTTGGATCCAGAGAAGAGAATGACAGTGTCACAAGCATTATCGCATCCATTCATCACGGGCAAGTGAGCCATGTTGCTGATTTTATGACTGCAGAAATGCTGCTTCACTAGATATTTGTAAATTATGTTCTAATCGTTATTAAGACATCTAATCATTGGACATTATCTTTTATCTTCTCTTCTCTGCGATAAGAGCTCTCGATACAGTTTTTGGCATGGTTCAAGTGAAGGGGTGATGTTTGGTCAGAAGTACTCTTTACTGGCGATTGTTTCAGTGGAATGTACTGTTTCTATTGTAAGACAACTCGCCAAAGGCGTTTCTATTAATTTTTCTCCTGTAACTTTTCCTGGTTATGGCCATAGGCAAAATTATCGTATCTTTTCTCATTGCTGTTCTGAGAAAATTAACAAGGACAGAAACTTACAATTTTTACGAGTTTTAGATGAGTGTATTCTCTCTGATAAT